TTTTTTTTTTTTTTTTTTTTTTTTGCAATTCCTCCTTGTCATGGCCTCAGCAGAGTCAGCGCTCGTTGTTTTTTTTTTTATATATTGAAACATGGAACTGCAATAGTGCGTCCTCCTACTTCGGATATCCTACTCCTCCACCTCCTTGTCCATCTCTCCTCCTCTCCTCCTCCTCTTCCTCCTCCATCCCAAGGTCTCACCAACTTTTTTGATGTGAACTTCCAAGTTGACTAGTATCTCCTCCTCCACCCCTCCCCGTCCATCTTTCATCCGCCACCGAAGTGTTAATTTCATGGAGTTTTAGGGTGGTTAGTGTGGTAGGAGGGGGTCTAGCGTGGTAGGAGGTGGTGCCAAGTTTTGAGACGATGCGGGGTGAGGCTGATTTCCCGGTTGCTGTCCGACGGTTCCCCCTGTCTGCAGGTCAGAATGGCGAGTACCAAGTACACTTCTGCTATGGTAAAGCGGCATTGCAACGTGGATGGGGTCGCAAGGAAAGATCCAAGCAAGGATGGCAAATGGTGGGTCTGCAAGTACTGCGATTTGAAATTCTCGAGCAGCCTGAACCGTGTCAAGGAACATTACTCAAAGGGAACCTGTGAGGCGGAGCAGAGCTAGAAGGTTTTCACAGATGAAGAAAAAGAAGCAAGGAAGCAAGGGTTGAGACAGGCTGTGGCTGACGTGGCGATGGTGAATGGCGACAACAGTCTTCCTAGTGGATCTAGTTTGACAACTGCACCAACAGCTGTGGAGAATGTGGGTAGGGGCATGGGAAAAGGGGGTGCAGCATCCGACACGCAACGATTCGCTTCATCTGTGCGGCAAATGATGCTGGAGGAGACAGACAACATCATAGCGAAGAACGAGATGACGTCAAGGAAGGTCGACAACTGGCTGACCTGCACGAACCAACCTTTCAATATGGTCGAGAATGAATTTTACCTTGACATGGTAAATGCTATACGGAATGCCCATCCCTCATGGCGGATGCACAGCAGGGAGGCCGCAAGGAATGGTAGACTGGATGGCCAGAACAAGAGGTGCATCGAGGATGTTCGGATGATTGCAAAGAAGTGGGAGAGAACAGGGTGTATAGTGCAGATGGATGGGTGGTCCGACAGGCGAGGAAGACCGCACATCAATGTGATGGTCTCCTCCCCTGTAGGGACCGTCTTTTGGAATTCCGTTTGTGTAGAAGGGAAGGAGAAGGACTCCATAGCGTACTACAACATCCTGGATGTTGCGATCCAGGACATAGGACCCAAGTGTGTGGTCGGGGTGATCAACCCTGAAGATCCAAGGGTACTTATTTTCAACAAGCTTCCCCGCCTTGACGCAAACTCTAGCATTGCGCCCCCACAAATCGAACGCCCGCACAACCTGCACAGGCATCGACGACCGCTCTTCCTGCCCGCCGCCATCGGCCCATCCAAATAACGCCCTCTGGCCACGAAATGCCACACCGGGTCGTCCCGCTTGCCGTCGACCTTGAACGGCGAGTCAAACGTCTTCGTGTTATGACCTTGTCGGGCGGTCGTGAGCGAGTCTACCGGATCCTTCCCCTGGTCCTGCGACATGATGAAAGTCGCCAACCGCGAAAAAAAAAGACGATGTCGGAACCCTCTGAGAATGTTGCCAACTCGCAACAGAGATCGAAGTCGGCGTCTGAGCGGCAAAGAAACGCTATGAAACAGGCAAAAACGATGAACGCAAAGTGTAGAACACCTGGACATTAGAGGGAAAACACAAGACGACATGAAACAAAAAAACAAACAACCAAAGAACAACAAAAAAAACTTAGACCTCGGAGGCAAAAAAAAAAACCACCAATGTTCTCTGTCCCTTGTCAAAAAAACGACAATGTTCTCCGCAAGGCAACCGTTCCACAGACGGAACTTTGGATTCCAGGAGGGCGATCCCACTAGCCACGTATGTGGAACAGTGTGACTGGTGTGGGACGGCTGGGGGACAGGCGGGTGGTAGAGGGAAAGAGGAAAAATAAACGGAAAAAAAAAAAGACAAGATTAACTCCACACACCGTTTGCTAACTTCACACACCAACAAGAGAGAGAGAGAGAGAGAGAGAGAGAGAGAGAGAGAGAGAGGCCACCAGCTTCCTTCCCCAAGGCTGAAAAGGCCACCCTAAGGCTATCAGGCCACCCCGGGCTATCAGGCCAGCCTAAGGCTATCAGGCCACCCTAAGGCTGAAAAGGCTATCATGCCACCCTAAGGTTATCAGGCCACCCTAAGGCTATCAGGCCACCCTGGGCTATCAGGCCACCCTAAGGCTATCAGGCCACCCTGGGCTCTCAGGCCACCCTAAGAATATCAGGCCACCCTTGCCTGAAAAGGCTATCACAGCCTATCAGGCCACCCTAAGGCTATCAGGCCACTTTGTATTTTCCGAAAAACCATAAAAGTTGATAAAACTGTGTCACATATCGTAGAATACTTCGCTAGTGGGTCCAGCTTCCAGGACTCCACGCCCCAGGTTAGTCCGATGGTAATAACTTAATAAGACAAGGCCATCGCCCTTAAAAAAAA